GACGATTATGAGCTACCATTCCTCATCAAAGTCACACATTTTAGTAACAAATCTTTGGGAAAAAAAAAACATTTTCTAGTTTCTAGTTTAGTGGCTTGTCACACCATTCACCTCGAACATAGTATATAAAACGCTCTCGGCTTTTAGATGGTGTAAAGAAAAGAAAACCAGTTTCTAGTTTCCTTTGAAGAGAAAATATAAACCCATGGAACCGTCTCTTAAAAATCATGTGATGCTCGTCTCATTTCCAGGCCAAGGTCATGTTAACCCTCTTCTTCGCCTTGGAAAGCTCATAGCCTCTAAAGGCTTACTCGTCACTTTTGTCACCACCGAGGAGCCATGGGGCAAGAAGATGCGTCAAGCCAACAAGATTCAAGACGGAGTGCTCAAACCGGTCGGTTTAGGTTTCCTCCGGTTTGAGTTTTTCCACGACGGATTAACCGAAGACGACAAGAAAAGAACCGACTTCCATGCCTACCTACCACACCTTGAAGTTGTCGGAAAACGAGAGATCAAGAATCTCGTCAAGAGATACGAAAAGGAACCGGTGAAGTGCCTTATAAACAATGCTTTTATGCCGTGGGTATGCGATGTAGCCGAAGAGCTCCATATCCTTTCGGCTGTTCTATGGGTCCAATCTTGCGCTTGCTTCGCTTCGTACTACTATTACCATCACCGGTTAGTTCAGTTTCCGACCGAAACAGAACCGGACATCAACGTTGAAATCCCATGCATGCCATTGTTGAAGCATGACGAGATCCCAAGCTTTCTTCACCCTTCCTCTCGCTTTGCGGCTTTTGGAGAAATCATTTTAGACCAGTTTAAGCGACTCGAAAGCCACAAGCCTTTCTCTATTCTCATTGACACTTTTCAAGAACTAGAAAGAGACCTCATCGACCACATGTCACACCTATGCCCTGAAATCATTATCAACCCCGTCGGTCCACTCTTCAAGATGGCTCAAACTATAAGTTCTGATATTAAAGGAGACATCTCCGAGCCAGCGAGTGATTGCATAGAGTGGCTTGACTCAAGAGAACCATCCTCTGTAGTCTATATCTCCTTTGGGACTATAGTCCACTTGAAGCAAGAACAGATCGACGAGATCGCTCACGGCCTTCTCAATTCCGGCTTGTCGTTTTTATGGGTGGTTAGGCCTCCCATTGAAGGTCTTAACCAAGAACCACATGTTTTGCCTCGAGAGCTTGAAGAGAAGGGTAAGATTGTGGAATGGTGTCCACAAGAAAGAGTCTTGGCTCATCCTGCGATTGCTTGCTTCTTAAGTCACTGCGGATGGAACTCGACAATGGAGGCTTTATCTTCCGGAGTTCCCGTGGTTTGTTTTCCGCAGTGGGGAGATCAGGTGACCGATGCGGTGTACTTGGTCGATGTTTTCAAGACAGGAGTGAGACTCGGCCGGGGAGACGCTGAGGAGAAGATTGTCCCAAGGGAAGTTGTGGCGGAAAAGCTAGTCGAGGCCACCGTTGGGGAGAAAGCGGAGGAGCTACGAGAAAACGCTCGGAGATGGAAGGAGGAGGCGGAGACCGCCGTGGCGTACGGTGGATCATCTGATAGAAACTTTCGTGAGTTTGTGGACAAGTTGGTTACGAAACCTGTGACACGAGAAAAGACAAGGAAAAACTGTAATGATAACAAGGTGTCGTAAAAATCCACATGTTGATGTACCTCCAAAACCTAAACCACCACAACATTTTGTCATTTTCTATCTACTGATACCAAAATAAAAGGGTCAAGTTTCATTTTCTTCCTTCCATAAGAATAGAAATGTAATATTGTTTAGATTGTTTCTCTTCTAAGTTCGACTCGAACCCTCGCAAAATAGTGGGATAAAGAATCTCCAACTACATTTTTCAAAACATTTTGGTGCTAATATAACCAAAAATACAATTCACTTTCGACACACATACATGTGAACATAAACACATAATCATCACTAATAGATTTTAAAACATGGTTATTATCGATTCTCAAGTTGAGGTAACCCAGCTCAGACTTATGAGGATTATGTATTGAAGAAGAAAACAATTTAGATATCACTTCAGGGTTTAGAAAATAATTTAACGTTTCGTAAAATTAAACATTTTTTTTTAAAAAAGATGCAACCCTAGAAAACATTTTCACATAAAACGATACACAACCCTATAATACATTAACAACAACTAAACATTTTTTCGAGAAAACACAATCTTAGGATGCATTAATAGCCATAACACGGATTTTTTCAAAAAGATGCAATCCAAAGATTCATTAATAACCATAAAACGATTTTTTTTAAAACTCAACCCTTTTTTTTTTTGATCAACCCTTTTAAAAACTCAACCGTAAGATGCATTTATAACTACAAAAAATTTCAAAAATATGCAGTCTTATGATGCATTAATAAGTTAATAACTATAAAATGGTGTTTAAAAAAAAACAACCCTATGATGCATTAATAATCATAAAATGATGTTTTTTAAAAAGACGCTACCCTTAGATGTTCAGTTACCATAAAACGCTTAAGATGTAACCATATAATGCATTAATAAGCATAAAACAGATTTTTCAAAAAGACGCATACAATCTTAGATGCTTTAATAACCATCTGATGGTTTTTTTTTTTTGAAAAGAATACAACCCTTCAAAAAAAGTGTTTATATCGATAAGACGTAACTTTTGGAAATAACCATAAAGCGGTTATTCTTGAAAAGATACAACCCAAAAATACAACCATAAAACGGTTATATCAAAAAGATGTGACCCTTAGAAATAACCATAAAGCGGTTATATCAGAAAAACGCATCATTTAAAAAATAGTTATATCGAAAAGACGCAACCTTTATAATTAGCCATAAAATGGTTACTTTTTGAAATGACACAACCCTTAGAAATAACCATTTTCCAATTATATTAAAAATAACATAACCTTGAAAAAGCGGTTATATCGGAAAGACGCACTCTCTGGAAATAACCATACAACGGTTATTTTTTAAAAGATACAATCCAAC